CTGTCTACTGAATTGTCTGGGGAAACCTTAACGGGCACCTGGTACGTTTTGGATTGTATTTATTTACGTTTTGGTTTATATATTTGTGACATAAAACAAACATGCGATGGCCATGTTTAACAAAACAAATGGTCACTGGTCTCCTTATAAAAAATCATTGTCACCTCCGTTATATTGCACGAAACGTCTTCAATGAGAGATGGCTTAAAGATGACTGTGTTGCCAAATTGGAAATCCTAACTCACGTAAGAAAACATATTAATTTGCACAAAGTTGTGGGAAATATATTTCAATTATATATATTAATAAATATATTATATACTTCAATAGTATACTTTAATATATTAATGATCCATAGGTATAAATGTGGTAACTGTGTCCTGGCTCATTGTTGTTTATGTGAACCTTGTAAGAAAAAATGCGGGAAGAAAACATGCATGACTGCTGCTTATTAAACTGAGCATCCAGCATTTGATATTGATTGTTTGAAACATTGGGTGTTAAAACTTCCTGGTTTAAGTTACAAAACCTGATTAAAAGGCTGCCAAATTATACCACTCTGTATACCGAAGGGAAAAAGAGTGAACCAGACTAAGTATTTCAATGTGTAGTTCTAGGCAATACCCCCTGCTAATGGAAGAGATTTAGTTAATTATGAACCCCCACCCCTCTAGATTTTTCTAATTGTCACTAACAGCTTGTTTCCCCCACCCCTATGGAAATTCTGAACAGTTTTTTACTACTATCATACTTTCAAGCACGATGTCGGTGTTTTAAAAAATATCTCGGCAAAATGTTCATTGTTCACATAAACAAGACAGAAACCGTATCTTGGCATATGCACAGCAAGGAAGGGGGTACCTTCTTGAACTGTTGGTATACAGCGCGCTCCACACAAGCTTCACTACTTGATATGCAACTGCCCTAAGAAACATACTTTCAAAAAGAAAATTTATATATTAACATGACAGCTTTAAAATTTAGTAATCCAAAAACTATCATGTTATTTGTGAGCTGTGTTCTGCACAAAAACACCAGGATTCATAATACAAGATCCTTGTTTGGCTTACATATAACTTAGCTATAGGCTTTTCAAGTTTTCTTGTTCACATGACAGGATATTTCAGTACCTTGCTCATCTTTACAGGGATTCAAACATTACTAAATTCAGAATATGATACTCAGATCATGACTTGTGAACAATGAACATTTTGCCGAGATATTTTTTAAAACACCGACATCATGCTTGAAAGTATGATAGTAGTAAAAAACTGTTCAGAATTTCCATAGGGGTGGGGGAAACAAGCTGTCAGTGACAATTAGAAAAATCTAGAGGGGTGGGTGTTCATAATTAACTAAATCTCTTCCATTAGCAGGGGGTATTGCCTAGAACTACACATTGAAATACTTAGTCTGGTTCACTCTTTTTCCTTCGGTATACAGAGTGGTATAATTTGGCAGCCTTTTAATCAGGTTTTGTAACTTAAACCAGGAAGTTTTAACACCCGATGTTTCAAACAACCAATATCAAATGCTGGATGCTCAGTTTAATAAGCAGCAGTCATGCATGTTTTCTTCCAGCATTTTTTCTTACCAGGTTCACATAAACAACAATGAGCCAGGACACAGTTACCACATTTATACCTATGGATCATTAATATATTAAAGTATACTATTGAAGTATACTATTGAAGTATATAATATATTTATTAATATATATAATTGAAATATATTTCCCACAACTTTGTGCAAATTAATGTTTTCTTACGTGAGTTAGGATTTCCAATTTGGCAACACAGTCATCTTTAAGCCATCTCTCATTGAAGACGTTTCGTGCAATATAACGGAGGTGACAATGAGTTTTTATAAGGAGACCAGTGACCATTTGTTTTGTTAAACATGGCCATCACACGTTTGTTTTATGTTTTTTTTTTTTTAATTTTATAAACTTCGTCACAATATAAATTACATATCTAAATACTATAATGACTATAACACATTCCGAGCCATCCTTACATGTGTCATTTTCCAGGACTAACAAACTGTTAAACCATATTAAAACAGACTAAAACAGACATGAAAACCGTAGATGCAAGATAACTCGAAATGCACTATAGATCTAACAATGCAACAATTTACAACAATTGTGACAGGGTATTCACGACAGCTTTTGGCCAATTACTGTGATCCCATTAGACAACAAACAAATTATCTTAAACTATACAAAGCATTCACATTGTCTCTTAAAAAATTATCATTTAAAAACAGCATGCAAGAGGTTTAGTGAGATCATGAGTCTGATTACACTTTAAACAAATTGTTTTCCACGAACGAGGATCATCTATGTTATAATTAAGTTGTAAAGCAGAGAGGTAGTAGTCAAGTAAATATTTTTTAAAGGAATATAAAGAATTAGATTTATTAGTTATGAGTTTTGGTAAAGTATTCCAGATCCTAGTTGATCTGATTGTATACGACTGTTGGTATGTCGCTGTATAGCATTTCTTCGTGCGGAATTGGAGACAGTTTGGTTGAACAGATCGTGTTGTTCTAACGTTCAGATGTTGCGTAGGAAGGACTGATCTCGGAAGATTTATGGCACCACAACTTACTTTAAATAAAAACATCATGTCCAAGTACTCGTGCCAATAGCTGATGGGAAGAAGCTTCAATTTCTTCAGTCGTTGCTCGTAACTGGCTTCGCAAAGAAAAGGCAGGCCAAGGATGTATTTTGAAGCACGCCTTTGTACTCGTTCTAATCGGGAGATGAGCTCAACGGACTGTGGTGACCAAACTTGCGTTGCATAACCGACTTGAGATCTTACGAGAGTTAGGTAGAGGGTACGACGCGCTGATTGACTGGTGATGTTTCTTGTGGATCGTTTTACAAATCCCAGCAATTTATTTGCCTTTGAACATTGTTCCAAGACTTGTTTTCGCCAGGTCAAGTTGTTGGAGATCCATACACCCAAATCACGTTCATGTTTTGAGGTCTCTAAGGTTTGGTTAACCAGACTGTATTGATGCTCGATTGTCTCGCGCCTTCTGGTAACACGGAGAGTTTTACACTTCGAAGTGTTTAATTGAAGACCAGCATTCGAGGAACTGGTTTCAAAGTTTAATAGGTCATCCTGCAACGCTGTAGCATCATCAAGGCAGTTTATCTCTTTAAATAACTTGGTGTCATCAGCATAAGTTGCGATAGAAGAACTCACGATACTGGAAGGTAGGTCGTTTTCGTATAACAAGAACAGTAGTGGACCAAGAATTGAGCCTTGAGGTACTCCTGAAGTTACTGGTGTAGGAGATGATGTTGCTCCAAGGATTGTCGTTTGTTGTCTACGATCTTGCAAGTATGATTGGAACCATTTGAGGATGTTACCACTAAATCCGAAATCACGAAGACGAAGGAGAAGACGTGTGTGGCTCACCTTATCGAAGGCTTTCGACATGTCCAGGTATAAGACATCGATTTGTTTACCACGATCCAACAAGTTACCAATCGTGTCGAACACTTCGATTAACTGAGTGTCACAAATATATAAACCAAAACGTAAATAAATACAATCCAAAACGTACCAGGTGCACGTTAAGGTTTCTCCAGACAATCCAGCAGACAGTGTTTGCTGCTCTTGCTCTCTGTCAGTTATAGTACTTTTCGTGTATTATGTTTTTTCAGTGGCAAGAGCTTCGACTGAAGTATCATAGGCCTCGCACAAATCCACATTTTTGTCCATATTTACATCACCCCCGCTATCACAAGAAACGTCTTCGGCAAAAGAGAGTTCGCAAGATGATTGTGTTGCAAAATTTGAGCTGTGGCTTTCGTCAGAAGACATAATTTTGAACAAAAAACAGCCTAGTATAAGCCTTTGATAATATTAATTTCTCCTTCGGGAAAGAAGGCGTGTTGAGTAAATGACGTCACATCCGGCTAAGAAATCAACATCTCGCTAATTGACAACTCAGTAATGGCGGCCGAAAAATTTGCATGTTTGCGTTGAAAAAAAAGGCAGAAGGAAATGGAATTGGACGCTGATATTTGGTAATTTTGTTTATCTACGGACATACTTTCTGAATATACAATAAAAAGACAGCACAATTTTCCATCGCAGTGGCACTTTAAGTATATTGACTCGTTCTCTGAAGTATAAAAGCGTGAAAGTCATGGCATATAATTCTTAATTGCATTCTGTATAAGCTATCGAAGCAAAGCGTTGCGCGAGGGTGTTATATTACCTTAATATATAATATTTGTTCACTGTTCAAAATGCACGCACGTCATTGGTCGAAATCGATCACGTGTGTTTTTGTTACCTGGCAACAACGAATCCTGCGAATGCGTTATTGACAATAACGCATAAAAATGTGCATTATTGAAAATGGCTGCCAGCGAGGCTGCCGGCTCAAGGTTTGCTCGAGTCGATGAGGAAGAAATTAATCAGATTATAGAGGATGCAATACCTAAAAGTACGAAAAGACAAACAAGCTGGAGCATTGCTATCTTCAGAGGTCAGTAAACCATTATACATGTCATAATACATATTATTTATTAGCACTGATGAAGATCCGGGCTTACGGATCGAAAGCTTTGCAGTAATAAATTTACGTGGTGTTCCACAAACAAAAGTATTAAAATTTAAATTGTTTGCAAGTTTCAAAAGTGACTGCTTTCATCTTTTGAATGATGGCTTGCCTGTTCACAACTCGTTAATATATTGAGTATTTGTAAATATAATCTATTTACTTCGAATCAGTTTTATGACCCTGGTTCTGTTGCATATTTCCATATAAAAAATATTTCACTGCAAGTGCGCATAGTGCATGTACGTATCAGTAATTTTAAACTTCATACTGTTTCGTGTGATAAATATTGCTTCTTTTCAACACGTTTTTGTAGTGCTTGATAATTAAAAAAAAGAAACGTTTTTAATAATGTTGTGCTTTAAATTAAAGTCCGTTGCAACTGAAATACAGCAAAATCGAAGCAAAAATGAAACCTAATGTAAAGAAAGGAGATGAAATGGTCCATTTTCTTGTCTGGTGCCTTGTAAATCCTGAAATGAAGAAAAAAACAGTATCTTGTGTATATATGTTCACCTCAATCAAAGTTCAGGTGGCCGGTTCGAAAAGCATTTAACTTAACGGCGTTTAGCGGCTATTCGGCGTACAAATTCCCTATCCGACGGTAACCTAACCGGCTGATAAAATTGCGTTGCACAAAGCCCGTTTCGCACCGCGTTTAACTATCCGTAGGATAACCTTAAATTTACCCGGAGAAAACCAAATTTTCCTGAAATTTCTTACCTCTACGTCAGCTGTTGCTAGGCATTTGTGAACTTTTGAAGATTTATGTAGGCTAACTTGTGAATTCCATGCATTAAGCTTTTGCAATAAAGTTTGTTGTTGTTTTTATTTGGAGTTTCCTCGTCCATTCGCTGCAATATATACTATATCAAACTTCTGATTTTCAGATATATAGTGCTGAGTCTCTCATATACTTATTGAATATTTCATTAAGATTTTTGGCTTTTTTGCTATTGTGCGAAGAGCCGAAGGCAATAGCAAAAACTGTTAGTTGTGTTGTCTGTTTTCAGTTGATTGAGTTTTATATTGTTTGCATTCGAATCATGTTTTCCCTATGATTTTGCTATGAAATTTCAGCGACGGCACTGGCTGGGAAATTTAGCGTGGCACGTGGAAATGACGCGAGCAAGGCGAAGCACGTGACACACTGAAAATTGAGGTTATCGAGTGCGATAATTGAGTGCGAAAATTGAGGTTATCGATCTTTCCTCCTTATTTAAATATTTTTATTAATCTAATATAATACATGGTAAGGTCTTTTCTCATTATGCACAAGTACACAACATCAATTTTTTTTTAAAGCAATTAATAATTATATTATACTGTAAGCGAATAACACATCAATATTTAAAAAAAAGTTAACTTTCCTTTGGCTTAGGTTTTACAATTCCCCCGGCAGTCTATATCGCCCTGATCTTTTGTTATGAAGCACTGAAACACAAGTAACATGTTGGTTGCATGCTCTTCTATCATTTGTTTTTCGGGTTTCTGGATAAAACGTTTCGAATCTTTGCCGTGAAGCTGCATGCAACCGCCGGGGAAACTGCTCGTTCTTCCCGTTCGCAGACATTTTTTGCTCCAAAACAGACGCGAGGTGTCAATTATAACAATCTAACCCGTATTAGATGCACAAATAATTATAATGAAAAAAACCAAAAACAAAATAAAGCTATACTCCCGAAAATTTTCTGCTTGAACGCACACTCAATTAATGGAAAGGTTGATGAAATTGCAGCATTTATGTCCGTCAACGAAGTTCATATAGCTGCAATTATGGAGTCTTGGTTGACTGATAAGATAGGGGACGATCAGATATCGATTGGTGGGTATGTAATTCATCGTAAGGACCGGACGCATGGCCGTGGGGGTGATGTGTCTCAGCAGATATCCATTACGCGATACTTGGAATTAGAAGATTTAAATCTAGAGTGTATGTGGTTGTGGGCTCGACCACCACGCCTACCGAGACTGTAAATATGGCTGCCGGACGTTCAAATTAAACAGCTTCAAGTAACCTTCTCCCACATTCTATTAAAGTACGAAAGCTATTTAGAGTATAACAACGACAATAAAGTAAAATGGTCCGGCGCGGCTTAGTGAAACTAAAGAGTTTTGTTGTCGATTTATTCGGCGATGAAGGCAAGTGGAGCTCGCCTGGTGAGAGTGCGAAATTATTTCAAAGTAATTGGATTAGCATTACTTGGTACGCTAATACGGAATCAATTTTATTTCAAGGCGAACCGGGAATTAAACTGAAGGAACTAATAGAGAACTCTTCCAAGAATAGGACAACAACGAACTTGATAAATATAAGCGAGTCAAAATGTTATGACCGCTTATTCGACGAATTAATCGAAGTTAAGCAGAGCGTAGCAAATATGTCAAGCGCTATGAACAAACTTTACGATCATGTAGCCTTTACAGTTAATTCCATCTATAGTCAAGACCTAACCTCAAAGAAAACGGTGTCTGAATGTGGTATACAGACAGATATATACCCGATGAGTTCAAATCTTGCTCACATTGATAATCAAGGCACAATCTTTAAGAATGCGGTGTGTGAGATCGGTATTCAAACGGACGTTAACCCGGTAAACGAAATTCTTACCCAGAATAGAGTCAAAGAGCATATACCCAGTTCGTTTTACGAGCTTTCAACCGATCTTGAGGGCACCAAATTAGACATCGTAATTATGGAACGCAAAATTGCAAGTGGGGTTCGTGAGAATGGTCAAGCATTAGATCAAACTCGTGCCGAATTGGCAGATATCAGAGATGATCAGCAGAAAGCCGCACATCGCGATAAAGCAATAATAGAGTTATTGTCAAAGCAAAACAAGTGCTCTCTCTGATAAAGTTTAACTTTGTGCTTAGACTTGGAAAAATTGAAAGCAAATTTACATAAAGTTGAACAAAAGCATGTTTCTGATCACCCTACTCAACGATGCGTACATATATAGTG